CCGCGACCCTCAGATTGCGAGTCGAGCGCCCTAACTACCCTGGCCATGCCGGGCCTAAAATATGATAAGACAACGATCTGTAGACAAGTAATCAGATCTTCTTCTTTTTAGAAACCATCGTTTTGCCACTTATACAGATCAACATGTTATGTTGAGAAAGTAAGATTAAGTTGTAAAAATGAGTTGTTTTGTTTAGGATTATTTTACCGAGCGGTCGACTCGAATTAAGGTTCTAATTACCAAGATGTAGGTTATAATACTTATAACTTGAAAGGCCAGGTGGTTAAGGCACTCGACTCGCAATCTGAGGGTCGCGGGTTTGAATCCCTCTCACACCAAACATGCTCGCCCTTTCAGCCGTGTGGGCGTTATAATGTGACGGTCAATCCCACTATTCGTTGGTAAAAGAGTAGTCCAAGAGTTGGCGGTGGGTGGTGATGACTAGCTGCCTTCCCTCTAGTTTTACACTGCTAAATTAGAGACGGCTAGCGCAGATAGCTCTCGTGTAGCTTTGCGCGAAATTCAAAAACAAACAATAACTTGAAAATAACAAGAATTCGTCCACTGTATAATTTTGTTTGTTTGTTTTTGTCTGTTTTTAATTATGCACAAAGCTACACAAGGGCTATCTGTGCTCTGCCCACCACGGGTATCGAAACCCGGTTTCTTGCGTTGTAAGTCCGCAGACATGCCGCTGTGCCACTGGGGGGCGTATAATTTTGATGTACAGTATAAGTGAACGAGCCCTAGATGTATTTAAAAACGCTAGTTCATTAATAACCGCTATATTTCTGCTGGTTTAAAGGAAGACTATTGCCCTAAATTAACCTGTTACTTTTTCTCAATTATGTGATGAGATATTCTCGTAAACGGTGAACGATGTATAGAACATTCTTGAATAAGGATCGTTTATCAATAGTTAATACATTGTGAATATAAATGTGTCCAACATAGTTGTTCTGTGGTGATTATTACCAGAATAAGGATCGTTTATCAACAGTTAATACACTGTGAATATAAACGTGTCCAACATAGTGGTTCTGTGGTGATTATTACCAGAATAAGGATCGTTTATCAATAGTTAATACACTGTGAATATAAATGTGTCCAACATAGTTGTTCTGTGGTGATTATTACCAGAATAAGGATCGTTTATCAGTAGTTAATACACTGTGAATATAAACGTGTCCAACATAGTTGTTCTGTGGTGATTATTACCAGAATAAGGATCGTTTATCAGTAGTTAATACATTGTGAATATAAACGTGTCCAACATAGTTGTTCTGTAGTGATTATTACCAGAATAAGGATCGTTTATCAATAGGTAATACACTGAATATAAATGTGTCCAACATAGTTGTTCTGTGGTGATTATTACCAGAATAAGGATCGTTTATCAGTAGTTAATACTGTGAATATAAACGTGTCCAACATAGTTGTTCTGTGGTGATTATTACCAGAATAAGGATCGTTTATCAATAGTTAATACACTGTGAATATATACGTGTCCAACATAGTTGTTCTGTGGTGATTATTACCAGAATAAGGATCGTTTATCAATAGTTAATACACTGTGAATATAAATGTGTCCAACATAGTTGTTCTGTGGTGATTATTACCAGAATAAGGATCGTTTATCAACAGTTAATACACTGAATATAAACGTGTCCAACATAGTTGTTCTGTGCTGATTATTACCAGCAAGTTGTACTGTTGATTTAATTATGATCCAGCACATTTAGAACACTGAGAACGTCTCTCAAACAAAGTTGTAGATGCGATTAAAAAATTTATTCAATTAAATTGGAACTTCTGCAAGCAGCATCGTCATGAACGACGTAATGTGAAAGGTCAGTTAGTGAAATATCGGGGTGAAAGGTTTACTTTTTCAGATAATTAGCTAACCCTATTTCTAAGTATGTTCAATACCCAAAGTCAGGGTAAATGGGATAAACTGTCGAGACGACAACAATTTAAAAAAAAATTAACAAGTTGCACGTGAACTACCCATATTGCACAAAGCAGTGGTAATATGTTTTTAGTTTCTATAGTGGCTCGATCAGTGGAACAGAATCCTCCCAGTAACACAGCGTTATGTCTTCGGACTTGCAGCGCTATAAACCGGGTTTCGATACCCGTGGTGGGCAGAGCACAGATATCCCATTGTGCTTAATTACAAACAAAGAAACCGAATGTATATTATGGGAAACTTGTGATTGCAGTAAAGATGTTTACGTGTGTATATATATATATATATATATATATATATTTTACAATCCTGAAACAAGTTTTTATTTTATCGTTCATTCATTTCTATTCATGATTTTAGAATGGATGATTTTTTTGTCGTCTCAACCTACGACAGAAAATAGGTTTTGCCCCTAAAACCCTCGTTTGGCTAGAACCAATACTTGTTATAAATTATGGACACAAATCTAGAAGCAGCCATAGTGTAATAATCTTAAAGATGATTGGTTATTGTAGCTTGCAAGGTAGAGATTAAGTTTCCGTTTTAAAGCAGGGATCGAGTCGCTACTTTGACTGTCTAATATTTGTAATGATAACACATGAAATCATAATTTAACCATTACCATTTCACACCAAGGTGTAAAAATACACGTACTTATTTCATTAAAATAATAATTATATAACGTACCAGACTCTCTAAACAGACAAACGTTAAGTATGTACAATATAAAGGATATGAAAAGAATACCGATGGACATTTTGAATTTGTAACTTACTGTTAAGCCTTTTTTTTTTCTCTCTCGATTAATGGATGATACGTAAAATTAACTGTTAAGCCTTTTTTTTCTCTTTCGAATAATGGATGATACGTAAAATTAACTGTTAAGCCTTTTTTCTTTCTCGAATAATGGATACGTAAAATTAACTGTTAAGCCTTTTTTCTTTCTCTCTCGAATAATGGATGATACGTAAAATTAACTGTTAAGCTTTTTCTTTCTCTCTCTCTAATAATGGATGATACGTAAAATTAACTGTTAAGCCTTTTTTTTTTCTCTCTTGATTAATGGATGATGTATAAAACATTTTAGTGGTTCCATAATTAGGAGACTATTTTGTAATTTTCCAAGCATATTTTTTAATTAGTTGGGTTTTTTATTATCAGCATTACAATGGTCTTTGAAAGCTGCGGGAAACTTCCAGATTTTTTTTTGATATGAAAGATGTAGTTATTAGTTATGTACATCGTAATTTGTAAAATATTAGGATTTCGTATGCTTGAGCTTACACGGATTGAAAACTATAACTATTATTATAAGTGGAATTCCTGGTGTATTATGTATATATACTACAAAACGGGGTTTGTATACGGAATAAAATGGTAGTAGAAATATTACGGTGATTTTGAACTTTTCGATGTAGCGTTTACGTGAATATAAAAAATATGCAGTATAAGCTTGACTTGTGTGAATTACTTGCTATTGACATTTCACGAGTCTGATGGTCGCAGATGCGAATCCCCGTCCCACCAAACATGCTCGCCCTTTCGGCCGTGGGAGCGTTATAAAGTTACAGTCAATCCCACTATTCGTTGGGTAAAAGAGTAGCCCAAGAGTTGGCGGTGGGTGGTGATGACTAGCTGCTCTAGCGCAGATAGTCCTCGTGTAGCTTTGCGCAAAATAATATTCCACGAGTCTTATGATGTATGTAATGTTTTGGTATATTATCTGTAACCAGGACAACGTACCACGTGACTGCTAACACTTAATAATATAATTACTATCTATAAACAAAATTTCTACTGGTTTATATTGTTTGTTGTTTCTGTTTTTAACAAACTGGTTTATATTGTTTGTTGTTTCTGTTTTTATCAAACTGGTTTATATTGTTTGTTGTTTCTGTTTTTAACAAACTGGTTTATATTGTTTGTTGTTTCTGTTTTTAACAAACTGGTTTATATTGTTTGTTGTCTCAGTTTGAAAATAGGAGTAGTATACGTTAGGCCTTGCACCTTGTTTTCTCTAAGTATTAAAATGAATGTCTTCTTTAATAGAATGTGCAAGATCTCAGATTTTTTTTCACAATATAATTTTAATTAGTGAAGAAAGCCAAACTTGGGGTAGAATGATTAAATGTAAAAAATAGCTGTCTATGATTATGACAAAGTTGTGACTTTTATAAAAAAAATGTCTTACATTTCAATTAACACAAGTTTTTTATTTTGCAAAATTAAATTATAATTTTTAAATTGTATAGTATTTAAAATCAAAATTGGTTTACCCAACACTTAGTATTATCATTAAAAAATGCAAGAATGTCCAGTTTTTCAACCAAGATCTTATTTAAAGGTACAATATTTACATACATCTTACAGACAGACTTTAATATAACTTTTTTTCTCAAGTCAGACTAAACAAAGACGTGCAATGGATAATTCACAAAGCATAATTTTTTAAAATCCATATCTGTTTGGTTTTCTTTTTCGTGCTACATCGGCCTTTGTTGTTAACTACAAATTGAAGTCTAGGTAGGGATCACTTTCTTTGGAGAACTTTTACGAATAAATTTAATACATACGTAGCTAAAATTTGACTGATTTAGAAACCAGGTAATAGCGAAAGAGAATAAAGTCGGCATGAAGTTTTTTTTTAGTTACTTATTAAGAAGGGACTGATTTTTTTGTTTTTTTTCTCCTTTGTCGCTTCAACTCTCATAGTCATTACATGTTTAACACTGAAACTCTTAGTCTAAAGTCAGAGAGAAGTGTGTTAAATCTGTTTCTTGTCCTTTTTTTTGGGATATTGAGCAGTTTATTTTGCTATTAATCATAGGTCACTTTTATGTGCTATGCCAGTTTTTACTGAAAGTTATTTTTATCCTATTGCATGTTTTGGAAAAATAATAAATAAAAAGCACAAAACCTATGTGCTACAAAAAACAAACCTTTATTTTAATAGAATTAGTACCAGAAATGGATATACTTTGTTTGGCAGAAGTAGGTCAGCTGCTTTAAGTCTCTTGGTTGGGTATTTCTCTGTTAGAATTATTACAAGAGATCGGTTTAGTTTCATAATGTCAAACAAACATTGCTGGCCATGAAATGTTATTCAAAGTTAAAAATTAATGATGGACAAAACAACTTTGATGTTTTTAATACAGTTTTCTCCTCTTAAATATTTTAAATCTAGAAAAGTCCCGCATAACAAAATGAAGTTTTAAATTTGGCAACTAGAAACTAACACATTAGTGTATTTTAAAGCCGTAGTAACTGATATCTCGCTGAATGTGAGGGTGTGGTGTTGTCAGTGGATGTTAGTTTCTTAACTTTGCAAAACATGTACAACCCCCAAACCTAAATGCATTTACAAGAATTATCTAGTGATTTAATGACCAGTTCCCCCCTTTTTTTTTCTGTTTAAACGTTTGTTGTACTATCTCTAGTAAAATTAGGTTACACTTCAGAGCTTTTCAAAAAATACCTTTTGTTTGTAAGAGTTACGATCAGAAATTCTGAATTTTTTGCAGTTTTAAAATTTTGGTTGTGCTACATTACCATTAGCCAATAGATTGAATAACTTCACATATATTGGTTTGGAGAAGAACAGCAAATACTCTGTGTAACACTATATTAAGATCCTTATTGTGTTGATGTGGATTTTAATAAAAAACTTAATGTAATAGAATTGGAAGTTCGTGATCTTATCTGGATGAGTTATGCTCTCCACGGCTATCAAAATATCGATTGCCCAACTGATAATGGGGCTGTATAAAATATGGTAAGGGTGGGGCTTAGGACTACAATGAAATAAAGATTTGAAAACTTTAATATGAAAAGACTGGTGGTAAGTTAACCTTTACTAATATATATAGTAACTGTTTGTGATAGGTCGAAAGAGTCTTAGAGTTTTGTTTGCAACATAAAGTATTGAATGAAAAATGCTATTTAGTTAAAAAGCAAATTCAGTATGTGTTATCAGCAGCTCGAAATCTTTGAAAACGTGTAAGTATTATCCAAGCTGACTGAAATTAAATACCAAGTCCCTTATTTCATAACATTACGAGCTAAAAGATTTTATTTTAGTAACAATTAAGTTCTTTTGCATCACGTTTTTAAAGTGTTACTATTTAACCTTAAAATACATAGCATATATCATCATCTGAATAATCGCTTCTAAAAATAAACTACAAATAACTATAAAAAGTGATTCTGTATAAAATGGAAAACACTAAACATTTCTTTACATTTTTTGAATTTCCATTAGTTCATCACTCATGATGATAAAACATGGCGGGGCTTAAAATTTGCTGTACATTTTAACAGATTTCACCAAACCGTTAAACTGGTTTTAACAATTTCTCAAGGTTTTCCACCTGACACAGACAGTATGTTTAGACATACGTAAACCCATTCACCTGAGAGACGTCACAACATTATAAGTGGCCCAAGTAATCATTATGTTGTCATCCTCCACAAAATGAGCCCAAGTAACAAGGATAGGAAGTGTGAGGAGACTTTGGCAACACCGCTGAAAAATGGACAATACGGGCACTGGTAGGACCCACATACTTCACAGATGTTAAGTACGTAGAGGTCGTACGCTTCATAGATCATTTCCTTGAATCGCTCTAAGTAAAGGAAGAACAGCAGTTTGAGATTCATGTATACTTGTGAGATTTTATGGTTAAAAGCATTTTACAGAAAGATAGGAAAAGTAACTAAATGAAAATACTGGGTCCGTAACATAGATTTAAAATTACACCGTCGAATGTGCTTGATTATATTTTTACTTCACTATACGAATCAATGTGTGATAATAAGTTGGTTCACAAAATACTTTCCGTGTTTACTAATGAAGTTTACATTTTTCTCTGGATTTTTGGATATGAGAAATGCTTTACTGAAGAAACTGTATGATTATCTGATCAACCAATAAAATTCTGTTAAACAGATGACTGGGTAAGGTACAAACATAGTTATGTGATCAAACAATAAAATTCTTTGAACAGATGACTGGGTAAAGTACAAACTTTACTCAAAGAAACTCAGTAGAAGTGTTATTAGTTGTTTTTTTTGTATTTTAGAGTGACTGATTGGTTTATATCTGAGCAGTGACTCACCAGGAGTGTAGTAATCATATACTCGAGCCTTCAAATAACGGGTTAAGTTGGCCACAGGGTACCATCTTTCAGTAGTGAAATTCACACATAACCACTCGGAGTCCAGCTAAAACAGGATATAAAAATGCAAAATAAATGTTAATAACAGAATTGACTGTAAACATGCAAGTACAATTCAATGTGTTAAGTTAATTTTACAGACAATTAATTGTCAATCGACTTGGCGTAGTTATAATTATAACTAGATACAAAATAACCATACTAGTTTATTAACAACATGCCAACGATACTCACATAGTCAAACATAAAAACCGCCGATCGTGGTAGTACTCTTCCTCGCCTCAGTCGAGGTACTACCTCTTTTCTAACATAAGAATCCATAATAGGTTTGTACATCATGTATCCCGTAGGAAGGGTAATTTCTATTACAGCCATACCACTGGTAGGACTCTCGGATAGCAGTTTCCATCTGAGTTATATAAATATGGGGTTAATATTTTGTTAAGACAAATTTAGCTCTATAGAAAATGTGGTTAAAAAAACAGAAAACATGAAATAATATAAGCCAGCTGGAGTTGTAACAAAATTTTTATGACCTTCTCCAGTTATTGATTGAATTATAGAAAATTAACTAAATTTTATTGTGGGGGAGGGAAGATGGATAGACGGATTTATGACACAAGTTAGTTGGCTTATATTGTTGGATGAAATGCTCCATTGTGAGCACAGTACAGACAACCCATTCTGTAGTTTTGTGGTCAAAAGCAAACAAACATGACAATAATAACTACCAGTGGCAAAAATAATTGTCATTATAAAATTTGTAATGTTTGGAGTGTCCACTATTGTTTATATTCACAACACGATGTGATACCCAGGTGTATTTCACATCACACACACTGCCTTTCAGGTCCATCAACATAGTGGGCAGGTCTCAGGATTCTAAAAACATTAAGCAGATCCACAGTCAAACATCGTCAGGGGTAAGACCTGGAAATCATGCTCGTTGTGCTTGGAAAATTTCTGCTGCTTACTCAAAACACACAGTCTTGATAGTACCACAGTGTGTGTATGTGTGTGAGAGGGGGACACACCCTCTTGTATGAAAACTCTCATTTAGAAATCCTACTTCTTGAAGTATAGGAACAATATGGAGTGATAGCATTCATTATTTAAAATAAATCCTGGCAATTTTTTTAATCAGCTCCCAGTATGCCCTCTGGTGACAACTAACTATATTATGATGCTGTAGTATAAGCTTTAACTGTGCTCTACCTAGCTGAGTGTATAGTGTAATCTACTAATACTAAACTAAAACATAATTATAATGCATTTCAGGGACTTCACTTTTTTTTAATCCATCGTATTACGCAGCTAGTTAAAAAAACAAAAACAATAGTAGTAAAATTTGTATTTATCACCTCACCATCACCTAAGCCTACTTAAGAGCATATTCTTCTTGGTAAGTTAATTATAATTTAATAACTTAGTAACCAAATAAGTATACAGTGTTGCAAATTTAGTAATTTAAAAAGTAATTTAGAGCTATAACCTACCAGTTTACATAAAGAACACACTTATAAATTGCAAAAAAAAAGGCATTATATATTTAATTAACTACTATTTTTTCCCCATATTGCAGTTATAACAATGTACTTGCACAATACACTGGGTTTGATTCCACTGTTGGCCTAATTGAGTAAAACTAACAACAAATATTACGAGTTCTTACCTTGCACAGCTCTCGATGTTAAGATGGGATTTGTTCCGACCGTGGTACTGAGCAGTTACTGATAAGTCGAAGGAATGTACGGGAGGCTGGAGAAGTAGAAAGTCTCGATCTACATTGTATTGAACATCCAGTTGGAGGACTGCAAGTCCCGATCCTTTAGCCTGAACTTCCACGTGACCCCACACATTAGGTGCAACCTAAACAAGTAAAGACAGGTTTTTATGAAAGTTACTTTCTTAGGCTATGACTTGTTCTTTATAGGTTGATTAGGACAGAGGTTTCTGTTTGATTATTTTAATCTGAATGTACATAACATTCATATGCTTTTAATCTTCCAATCACAATAGGAGTTGTGCTAGACCAACATTTTTCAAATATTAGTAAATGTTTTTTTACATTAAAAGTTGTATTCCAACAAAATTAAATGTTTTAATTCATATAAACTTAACTTTACGCAAATTTGTTTTTTATTCTATAAATCATATTTCTTAAGATATTTTTATGACGGTTCAGATTACTCGCAGACCTCAGTTTGTGAAACTCTGCACAAGACAATACAAACTTCATTCTTATAATATCAGAGTTACTTTATATAAGTTATCATCATCCAATAAATCCAAGGTCCATAAATTAGTTTCACAGAATGGTATCTTACCGATACTGACCAGTATCGGTAAGATACCATTCTGTGAAACTAATTTATGGACCTTTGATTTATTGGATGATGATAACTTGGCTACGTTCGAGTCAGTATCGGTAAGATACCATTCTGTGAAACTAATTTATGGACCTTGATTTATTGGATGATGATAACTTGGCTACGTTCAAACTTGAACGTAGCCAAGTTATTTTCATCAACTTCAAGCTCAGCAACTTCTCCTGGATTGGACGAAGACTCAACTTTCAAATTCATTTTAGTAATGTCTCTCACGTGAGTTCTAAAAGATGATTCAATTAAGGCTTGCATCGCAACAACAGTATCCTAGCAACAGAGAAATGAAAGAATTTGTAGATAAAACTCACTGAGATAAAAACATAGTTTAATGTAATAAACAACAGAAATATTTTAATATCGTGTCAAAGTATGAATATATGTTAAAAAAATTATCTTAATCGTTGGGCCATCGTGATAACTTTTAACAAAAATAAGCGAGTGGACATTATTTACCATAAATCACGGAGAATTAAGGGAAAGATTGATTTTTAACTATAGCAGTGTCTACCTGAGTAGAAATGAAAGCAGCATCATGAAGGCGCATGCTGTTCAACCACCTCACTATTTGATCTTGTATGATGCCACCGTGACGGATATACACCATCAGAGCATAAGCTGTGGCTTCTACTGCCACCGCATCCCATTTGTTTGGAAAACGTGGCATAATAAAAGGCCGTTGATTTTGATAGACTATTTCTGGAGGAGGAATGGGTTCAGGGCTCCAATACACCAGTCCCTCTGGTGAAGAACAATGAATAAATAGTATTAGTTTTACAACCTTGTGACATAAGTACAACAGGAAATTTACTGCTATTTTTTTTTTTATTTCTAACTAGCTTTGTTTAAAGGCTTATCAACTCTGAGGAAAATGTCTTTTTTTTTTAAGAAACTTAATAATTAAAAAACATAAATGCTTCTATCAGACCAAAACAGATAGGTATATTTCAACGAGCATCCAAGATTTTTATAATCATTTCGACAGTAGCAGCTGGAGTGTGGTTTATTTGCATGAAAAACACAGATGTAAAATAAGAGATTCCTTTTTACATGATAATTCTTAGCATCTGTGACATTGTGAATCACATAATTATATCTTCTACAGAGAATTAAACAATTAATTTAATGAAGAAAAAAGGGGTTCTGAATATAATTAGTTTTAGTTTCGTTTTTAAGGATGGATGACATGCTCAAAAGAATAGTGCTGAAAGACATACACACCCATCTCTCGCTTCATCTTGTCTAACATATTAAAGCCCACTTCTGCCTCAACGCTTCCTGCTACCATCAGAGCATAGGTGACGATAGCAACATCATATGGACTGGTAAGTTGGGGCAGCTGACGTTCTAAGTACATCACTGCTCTGGCTCGTGCATTTGCCGTCTCTGTTCGCAGTTCCTACAACCAATGTTGAAGAATATCTCATTATCTAGACAATCACAGGAAAAACAAAATATGTTATGTCTACTTCCTTTGAATTCTAGAAGCTGTATTAAAACTATGAATGAAAATTAACAAAAGTTGGTAGAATGCCAATCCTTACAGCACATAAAATGTACCCTGCGAGATCACACTAAATCATACATAAAATGTACCCTGCGAGATAGCACTAAATCATACATAAAACGTACCCTGCGAGATCGCACTAAATCATACATAAAACGTACCCTGCGAGATCGCACTAAATCATACATAAAATGTACCCTGAGAGATCACATTAAATCATACATAAAATGTACCCTGCGAGATCACACTAAATTATACATAAAATGTAACCTGCGAGATCACATTAAATCATACATAAAATGTACCCTGCGAGATCACACTAAGTCATTTTGGATACAAGTATCTTGCTTCATGCAAAAGGTAAATTTGTAACAGATCATTAATAAGTGTAAAATATATTCTAGGGTTGGATCACATGAACAGCAGGTCATACCCCAGGCAAGGCCAATACTTCAGCAAGAGTAATTGTCACATGGGCTGTTAATGTCACATTTTTTCCACGTCCATCTTCAAGATATTGCTGCATATGATTGGATAAAAGTATATTACAATTAAATATTACCTATTTAACAAAACATTAAATTCTAATTTCATTTTAAATTTCCCCAAAAAATGCTAAATGTTCATATCCATAAGTGGTATTTCATTAAGTTCTACAAAGTCAATTAAAACAGGTTGAGGACATTATACAAAAAAGATTTTGGAGCATCACCAAGTCATTATTATAGTCCAAGTTGCTGTGCCATGTTCTATCAGAGAAATGTGTGTGTATTGACAGTAGCCTCACAGTGTAGTTTCCACTGCAAAAGTTTCATTCTAGAACTGGGGGATTTAATCAATTACATTAATTAGTGTCACAAAGAAATGATTAATGATAATTATCATTAGACCAATTAATCAAAATTAGTGGTTCCAACTATTCCAAAAGTCAATGAAATCCTGATTACACCTATTGTCGCAAATAATCAATTAATCACAGTTGATGTTTCAGATCAGTACCATTTCCAATTATTCCAACAATAGATTAATTAATCAATTAGCAAATACACCTAATTGCCAAGCTCTAGTCAACAACACCCCACTACTTTTTACAGGCTTTTCATAATCCTTGTGTACAAGGATGACAGAGTTTGTGGATGCTGAAATGTGATAAGATGTCAAACTTTGCTGACAACAGCTCCTGTGCAATCTGTTGCAGGTCTCTTTCTACGTGGTCCTGTTACCCCAAGTTGATCCATATTTCTTTGTTCTCCATTGCTATTAAAAACAAGGGATATCCCCATCCTGAAAGTTCTAAATTCCTAATCAGAATAACTATTCATGATCCAAGTGTATGAATATTTTGCATCAGAAAGGACTGTTAAATACACTTTCCAAAAGTGGACAATTTCTTATGGTATTACATTACCTTAAAATACCAAACAATGTCAAAATGTACTTCTGACATATTCAGTTCCACTGCAACTTTAAATTGGCTGTGGTTGTCATGTGGCTTGCTGATTTGCATATTCAAAATCATTTTAATATAATGTTTTCAACCCTCTTTAAATAATACACACACACACACACATACTTTAGTTTCTAGTAATAAGTGCATCTTATACCATAATCACAAGAGTATACAATTAAGAATTCAAGGGATTCTAATCAATTTTTGTTGTATACTGATTTCTGGCATTATGTACCTTTAGTCACTTTTGTTACACAGAACCGGCCAAATTAACAAACAAGTCACGTTTATATAGTCAACCTATGTTTGATCAAAAGCTGTTAATTAAAATAAATATAAAATCTATTTAATACTGAACTAGTTTATTTTTAAATTTTATAATTCCAACGTGTGGTGGAATAGTTTATAGCAATATATCTTACAAAAAGTAATGACATCAAATATATTTCGAGCCTCAATTACAAAAAATGATGACATCAAACATATTTCAAGCCTCAATATAAATGTTTTCTGAAAAGTAAAGAAACAGCTTTAACCTTTGGTGCCATTTTTCTGTTCCAGGGGTGTTTAACCGTCTCGTAGAAAGATCCATCCTTTGTCTGGTGTCGGAGCACAAACTTTATGGAGTTCGATATAATTTCAGGGTCTATGAAGAGGTAATTCTCCCAATCAGGATACTGAGCCAGGCTGTATATCCTAGCACAGTAAGCTGTCAACCTACCCAAAGAACAAACATGTTGTATTCTACCGCACTGTGCTATCACACATTACATCTACGCGAGAACTAAATCATGCCGGCAATACTTTGCCATCTGTATGCTGTACTTAATTAAGTAAAAAACATTATTTATTTATTGCCAAGTGAACATTCATTATTAACACACAAGTTGTGAGTTTTCCAAATTTATCCACCACATTCTGAATTGAGGTTAAAGCTTACTAGTTTACACGTGTGAATATCATAGCTTACTAGTTTACACGTGTGAATATCAGTCATTAGGTTTTGGTTTTTGTCAGCATAATAACTGAAGTTAAAGAGTGCATTCAAATTTAGAAGAACAACAATCAGTGCAGCATAACATGAACTGTTAACTGTTTGTTGATTTTTGGGCAAAGCTACTTGAAAGTTGTCTGTACTAGCTATCCCTAATTTTAAAGTGACAGATTAGAGAAAGGCAGCCAGTCACGCCCCACCTCCCACCCCCAAGTGCTGGACTACTCCTGTCAGGCTGAAAAAGTGTATATTACAATTACTTTGTTGTTGTTGTTGTGTTAGTAATGGAGGAGGAACCACAGATATACAATCTGCCAAGTTATCCACTAAGCCTAACTCTTACCAGACACTTGGTTCTTTCTTGAACATACTGAAAGCTCCATCCTTCCAAAACACCATCTGGTAGACATAAGCTGAAACATAAAATCATAAGTTGTCTTTCACAAGTTCCTTACAAAATGAAGTTTATTTTGATAGTAAGATAAGCGTAAAATCTAAAATACCATCCAACACTCAAAAAGAAGATATTCTTAAGAACACTATCAACAAGTTAAACTATAATATTTACAAAATCTTCCAATATTTTGCATTTGTTTGAACTTTAATATCGTATAAATAAAAGGCTTACAGTAGTACCTCTGTTTAGAAACCTCAGGGTATTTCTCAAGGTATCTCCTTTCAGTTGATTTGTCAACCTCAAGTAAATGAGTGTATAAAGATTGTAAGCAAAATCAAACATGACATGTTCTCCCGATTTCACAGGTAGAGCAACATCCAGATCGGAAGTTTCAATAAAGTTATCTCCAGGTGCAGGTGCTCCTACAATATCACCTGTCAAATACATTAACTTCATTGTAGGATGTATTCCACATTATACAACACTTGTAAAAAAAGAATGATTTATATGTTTCTTAATCGCTAAAGTGTGCAATTATAAGTAATGAAAGTAAAGTACAACAACAACAACAACATGGTAAAATGCATAATGAGAACATCTCAGGAGACTCCCCATTCATTCTGCTTATTTGACTTAGTTAGGCTTAACCTGTGAAGTAAAGTAATAAAATAAGAATTTTTCTATAAAATACTTTGTTCCTGATGCAATTATTTGTTTGAAAGGAGGAGGAATAGTTTTCAGATTTTTGTAGAAGTACGTATGTAACATATCTTTTCACTTCAGACTTAACTTCTATTTTATGTACAAGTAAAAGAAGGTCTATCAAAGATTTTTATCACGTGCTATAGTTGACTAGGACTTGAGATATATATAAAATATTCCTACCAATTATGGACACTTTGGCTTTTGGTGATCCAAAGGTGTAGCGTCGATACATCTGTTCAAAAGGAATAATTGGATCTTCTGTGATATTAACATCTAGAAACTTGATGTTATAGGCTTGGTTTCTAAGTTCCAGAAGTAGTGATGTATGACGATATACGGGAACTCCATCTGCCTATTAAAGAAAAGCACACTGTTACATTGGTGTTTCAAAACGAGCAACTACAAAAAACAAAACAAAAACACTTTAAACAATTGAGTTCAGTAGGTATGCAGGATATATATGGTTAATTTTAGATATATTTTTCACTTTCTAGTTTACAATTAAACATTCAAGAAGTATTTTATACCACAGCTTTCATAATCCTCTAGAAATCAACTGTACAGTCGTATTGTTGTCGACTGAAAACGATACGACTGTACAGTTGATTCTGCAAATAAAACTATACAGAATTGTTCCCCAATTTGCACGTGTAGTAAACACATTCGGGCATAAAAGATTTTGTGTGCTGTAATTCTTTGTAGTATTTAGACCAATAATAAGTTATGGAATTGTGTGTTCTTTATGTACATAACAAAAATACTATTACCAGATATGGCCTTGTTGCTGTGAAACTTAAACTGTGACGATTAAGTTTCTAAGTAACTCATTAATAACACCTTCCTTACTGAAAACTTACTAAAATAGTGATAGAGGTAGCCACTCTGTCCCTGGCAACCTGAGTTCTTCCTGTAATTACAACCTCAATATCTCCCGTCCTTGTAGCGACTACAGGTATGTAAACAACCTCATACAGGTATGGCCTGATCTGGAAAATGAAACAAACGAATTTTCACATTCTGTTTTTATAAATTTACTCAGCAGTTTATAGTAAACATTAGATTCTGCCATAAGTGTATACTTCCATTGACTGACACAATTTAGTTAATGGGGGTTTGCAAGTTTACGAAGTTTGTTCTCTCTCTCTCTGATATATGAATCTGCAATTATATTTGTGGACAAGGCAAGATGAATAATATGTATCCCACAACTTGAACTTTCCTTTTACTCTGACAATGGAAGGAAGATGTGTGTACTTACATACAGTAAATGTTGGTGTTCTCCTGCAGTAACTCGTGGTTCGTATGATGAAACAACACCCAGAGGCTCGACTTGGACAAATCGATAGTCATCAGAACCTTCTAAAATGACTTCAGCCTAAGTTTTGAAAAATCAATTTCATCATTTTGCTTATATCACAAGTTGAATTACTAAATGCAGTCATATAGTTAAAAGATACGCTTTTTTAAAAATCACATGATATTTTTAATAATGAAACAATATATCACTGTGACATACTGGTGTGTGCAAAATTAGTTGGGCCAATTGTATTTGAAGTGTTATGTAAAAAAAAATAGCAGATAGATGCACACTGTACAAGATTATTCAATGGGGGTGGGGACGTGGATTAAGACAGACAAACTGCATGGTAATTTTGCTTAGTCATATATTAAACTACCATATGTAGCCTAAGAGGGATGACTGATCTGAAGGTCAACACATGGAGTATATAAAGACAGGATGGTTTATCATACCTTGATCTCAAACTCTGCATAATTAAACACCACAACCCTCATTCCTATCTGCTCTCCAAGAACAGCGGTAGTCGGGGCCTCCACCGTAATGAAGAAAGGCTTAGTGGCATCGTACTGTAATGTGATATAGTGACGATGCGTCAAAATCTTACAATGGTACAAGCTACCAGTTTATTTACAAATATATACAATAACCCAAAGAAAACGTTTCACTGGTAGTGATAAAACACCTACAGTTAAGTGTGAAATGAAAAAAAAATCTGTGATTACAACTGGAAGCTATCTCACTCCTTATAATAAAATAGACATGCATAATAGGTTCGTAGAAATAAAAACTTACATAAAGAAAATCGTTTAGAATGGCCAATCCGTATTCTTTACTGACTCCTACAGCATTAATTCTCCAGACTCCAGGTCCCTTTGGTACATCACAAGCAACATAAGCATCATCTGCATTTCTGTAACATATTATCGAACAGTAAACTAATTTCCAAAAACACACAAATACCATTAAGTAACAGTGACATTATCTTGTAGCTTTTAGTGTATGAACATAATAAAGATGTACAGAACATCAAAGATTTTTAAAAGTGCAATTTTTTTCATTTTCAAGAAAACTGTTGGTTTTTTGATTTATACAAGTAAAATTTTTCTGTCAAAATACATCTTAAAATTTTTAGGTGTTCAGTTTATTTTGCTTTGACAGTAAAAGCTAATTAAAATCAAACAACATATAGTTTTAGTGCTGCAATTTAACAGTTGCAATCTATGGTACAAAAGCTAGTCTTTGTAATGTAAAGAAACTTGGAAATAACATTCACATATTTCTACTGCCTTCTTTATCAATTTTGAAACTGTGGATGAAAGTTTAAAATACTGACAGATGCCTAGCTAACAGTTTTCAACACAACCAAATTTTTAAATTTCCAATACAGAAATTCATAACAAGAAAGATGCCAAAGAGTAGATGTTTCTATATTTATTGAAAACATTAAACCCACAGTTTCACACCAAGGCTTCAGAACTGGCTGAAATACTTTTAATTCTTGTAATGATAATTGGAAGTTTCTTGACATTATGTAAAAAACAACTGTCAGAACATAAGTGTTGTTCGTAACTCTGAATTTTTGTCACGATAATGTATATGTTGCATTTTATTTTATTTACAATTAAAGTCTGAAATGTGATTTTAGTAATAACAAACTGAGAATTAAAAGCTATTTTTCACATGATAAAGAGATAAAAATAACAACAAACTGTTAGTTATTCTGTTATTAGGAATGTGAATTTTAAACATCTAATTTTGGTACTGACCCTGTAATAGTATCTTGCCAGGCAAAATCTCCTCCAGTAGCATCGTAAAAGAAACTGTTCCTGCTCGTACGAAGTAAGTGAAAGTCTTCATCTTCCTCCTCCGACTGGAAACCTTACAACATTATCCAATGTATTTAAAAATAAGGTTCTTCGCATGTTTATATCTACCAACAAAAGTACCTGACTTGTAATTGTTCAACAACTAAAGCTGATTCTCATGTTTCTTATTAAGGATTTCAAATCAGTCTTTATTGGGTGTATATAGAACCATCTAAGCAGGAATGTTTGTTTCGAAGTATAATATCTAATACAGCAAGTCAACTATGATAAACACAATACTTGAAAATGGGATTACATTTATAAAAAAAAAAGTCTAGCATAATGACTACTTACAATCTCCTTCATCTGTTCCATCATCGCAATCACTAACTCCATCACACATCTTCTCAACAGGAAAACACTGTCCACTTCGACAAGGAAGAACCCCTAACGTTTTATTGCACTTGTCTGTAAAGGAAATTTTATATATATATATATATATATATATATATATACATGTATGTATGTATTTATGAATGTATGTGCAAAAAAAAAAATTGTACATACTTTGTTCACCTCTGATTTATATTTTTCCTAATCATATATATATATAATTAGGAACAATAGAATTCTCATGTGGGTGCAACATTTAGAAATAATACATGTTAATAAGGTGAACACATTAGGTACACATTTTTCTTCTGCATTTCGTTAATCAAGTCTATAAAGATGTATTTCACTACGTAATAATCACTGAAGGAACTCAAGAAGTAAACAGAAACTGAATTAAAACTTGTGTTGCACCGATTCCCTCACAGTCTTTCAGCCAGTAAATATTTCTGACGGGAAGGAGAACCTCTGAACCTCTCGATTTTTGCTTACCTTTACCAGTTTGTACCGTGTATAAACATTTCTTCTTTCACTACCATTATCCAAACAGATGAGGGTCTTTTTTTTTTTTAAACAGAAACAAATTCTATCTGGTACGAAACACGTTTTATAAAAAACTGATGGATATGTATTTTCATAAAGAGTTTGGAGCAAATCTGAAAAACTTACTCGGTATTGATGAAACATTCATGTTGGTGAAGACAACTAGACCCGAAAGCTTAAAGATCAAAGAAATATATATTAATTCTTAATTTTATGACAAGCTATTTGATTATGATAATACTTCAAAATACACTTACAACTTTGAAAAAAATGCATTTAGTTTTGAGATATTACTATATATATTTCTTCAGTGTAATGCTTTCAAGTAAAATAAAACCATCTACACGACTCAGAGTTACCGTATGACGAATATTTCAAACTGTGTGATTTGATTTGAAAGTGTTTTCCATGTGACATCATTATGAGAAACAATGTGTTTACTGTGAAGCACTGATGCAATGACTAAAGACTTTTTTTTTTCCCTTGATATTTTGTATCTTCAAGCAAGTTTCAATAACATATAAATAACATACCAGACAAGTGTTGTAGAATCCAACATTCAAAGGATTAAATATGTTCTAGGCTACTATGATAAATCTCAGTTATTACAGTTTTAGTAGAGAAATTTGAACAACAACATAATGGTATGTTTTATTCAAGAATAAATAAATATATATATATACATAAATCTGTGTCTGTAGTGTTATAACCGTGATTACTGGCTTGTAACCTGTTATCATTATTTTATTATGTAGTACCCAAATCCAAATAATTCTGATAATGTTCACAGTAAAAAAATTCTTAGTATCATTGAACAGGAGCTTTTTGTTGTTACATGTGACATTTGAATAACAGAATAGAAAACTACAGGCTCGCAACAGGTGGCTAAGTTATACCATTATATGGAAATGTTATAACAGAGAACTTTGTGTATGGATACATCAAATTCACACAAAATGCACTTAAATTAATGCAAGATAAGATTCATGTATGTTGATCCCTATCTATGCCCATTTTTCAATCATAAAGACAAAGCTATAAAAAATAACTACAGTAAAAATTCACCATGTCGCAAAAGGCACAATGACTGCAAAAGTAACTAGTGGATGAAAAAAAAAAAGACTTATACTGTTGTTTTTTTAAAAAAAAACAAAGCATGCCTAGAAGTTGAAAAGTCTATCATTATTAATAGATTGAAAGAAAAAAAGTAATTCTTACAGCAAAAGTTTGGTTAGGGTCTCTACCATAACTGGAAGTAGCATAATACTGGATCTCTTCTGAAGCACCCTCTCGATCTCTCCATACCGCTCGTTGTAATTGTAGATGCGAGTCTTCAAATTTATACATGGCCTCCACAGCCTAAAATATTAAGATTACACAAGAAATCAAAACAAGGAGAAATCTATTAATGGGTTGTTAAAAAGTTGATAATTTATCTACATGTATCTTGTCGTGTCAGCTAAAAACAAAGATATTCATCTGTACACAGTTTGGGTATATAAGTAGATGTATAGTTATCTAGAAGAAGTAAATAACACACAGAAATATTTTTAACATCATGTTAAACTTCAGAGTGATCCATAAATTCATCTGTTTGACCACACCAAATATATCACAGAAATAGATACAATAAAATATCAAAAATCACTTATTGATTACAGGAATCACCATATTCCAGCTAGAAAAACAATGCAATAAAGTTATCTTTTTTTAAAAAAGTACTAAAAATCGATCTTAAGAAAACAATTTCAGACTAATCACATGCTACTGTGACCCAACTTTGTCAGACTACTTATATCCTGACTCATCTTCAGCAGATCATTGATGTGCTGTTGTGACCCAACTTTGTCAGACTACTTATATCCTGACTCATCTTCAGCAGATCATTGATGTGCTGTTGTGACCCAACTTTGTC